CCGTGGGCCTCGCTACAGTTCGGACTTGACCTTCCCCAATCGTACCCAAGTTTCCGAGCCGAGGCAACTTTGGTGATGACGGACACGTGGCCTTAGGCAAACGAGTCAGGGTTTCCTAAATTTCCTAAAAATAAAACATTTAGGTGGCGACTCTGTATCTGGCAAAGCAGTCCATGTTTGGCACTTCTTTCAAAATCTGTTTTCTCAAAACGATTTGCCGGATTTGGACTCTTTGGTTCAGATTAAGAACTGTGACAATTTGAGAGTCCGAGCTGTAGTGAACCCAAATGAACAGAACGAGACTCACCCTCCCGGGAGCATTCGGGGACGTCTACAGGTATCTTGATAGTGGCTGCTCTCGTCACATGTTCGGTGACATGTCCTACTTCACGTCTTATGAAGGAAGAATTGTCACATTTGGAGACAGTAGCACCTCTAGCGTCATTACTAAGGGCTCTATAAGTGCTCCTAGTCTTCCAAAATTGGATAATGTGTTGCTTGTTGATGGTATTAAGACAAATCTCTTGAGCAATAGTCAAATGTGTAACTCACACCATGATGTTTTATTTTCAAAATACAAATGCGAGATTTTGAAAAAAAAAATAATAATGGAAAACAGTCTATGTCCATAAACGGTCTTGCATGGTGTGCGCACATTTAACAATTGTTATGGAATTGCCACCACAAATGATGCTACGTGTTATTCGGCCACCATAAGAAATCTAGACTTATGGCATCAACGGTTAGGTCACATCAACTTCAAGGACCTAAGATTGCTAATAAGGAGCTAGTGTGAAGAGTGCCAAAATTGAGTAAGTCGTTAAATCAAGTGTGGGGGCCTTGTCAAATTGGGCAAACAAACTGGAGCCTCACATAAGAAGGTGAATAGCTTTACTACCAAGCAACCTCTTGAGTTAGTTCATATGGATCTTATGGGACCCACTCGCACTGAGAGCATTGGAGGTAAAAGATACATTTTTATAACTATTGATGATTTTACTTGGTTTACTTGGGTTAACTTTTTGCGAGAAAAATCTGATACTTTCGTTGCTTTCAAATCTTTGGTCCTAAAGATTCAAAATGAACGTGGTGATACCATTAGGCGTATCATAAGAATCTAAACTGATCATGGTTGTGAATTTGAAAATAGTTCATTCTCGGATTTTTGTGATATGCATGGCATCAACCATGAATTTTATGCTCCTATTACCCCCACAACAAAATGGGATTGTTGAGAAGAAGAACCGTGTGGTTCAAGAAATGGCAAGAGTTATGCTCTTGAGCAAGAAAGTTCCTCTCATTTTGGGTCGAAGCCTTAAATACCACAGTATATATTATAAATCGTGTGTATTTGAGACCCAGTACTTTACAAACTCCTCATGAGTTGTGGAAAGGGTTGAAACCCAATTGGGAATAAGTGTTACATTTTTAAAGATAGAGAGCCCTTGGGAAAATTTCACTACCGCAGTAATGAAGGTATTTTTCTAGGGTATTTGAACTACTAGTAGAGCCTTTCGTGTTTATAATTTTCGTACTTTATCTATCATGGAATCTATCGATGTAGTTGTAGATGACACAAGTTCTCCAATAGCATCCTTACATGACGAGGAAGAAGGTAATTCTCAAGTACCAAATGTGAATTCAACAAGCCAAGAAGAATTTCAAGGCAAAGCTCAAGAAGATGAACAAGCATAAAATCACATGGTGTAGACACCCCATTTTTGACCACCTTCAAGACTTGGACGCGACTGATGGTTTTGGAAGTTGGGCAGTGCAAAGGTTTAATTTCTTCGGCAAGGAGAGAGAGTTGAATCTCAACTTCATACCCTTTTTCTGGACCAAAATGATCTTGATCAAAAGATTTTAGTCTTAAAACCCTCTCTTTCAAAACGTTTTTGAAATAAAGTTTTTACAATATTCCGAGGCTCGCATTTTGTCAAATGTTGCGCTTTTCGGTAAACCGAGCAAGGACAAAGTGGAAATGAACGAAAGAGAGATGAAATCTTTGAAAAATCTTTCAAAACGCCTTACTTAGGGGTTTGAAGTTGAAGAAAAGATGAGAAGGGGAAAAAAAATTCATTTTGGAGCTTTGCATTAAAAACCTCCCTCTCTCTACTTCAACCCTCCAAAACCCTAAGGTTCTTGGCCATTTACACACCAACTCATAGCACAAGACCTCCATCCTCCATTCCAGCAACTTGAGGCTGCTTTCCAAAGGTGAAGAGCTCCCAAACTTGGCCCAAAAGTTGTTGAAGCTTGGTTCTACAAGGGTGAGTCCCATTTTCCCTCTTTCTTGCCATGTTTTGCATGTTATCTAAGCAATACTTGCAAGATTTTTTTGGGCTCCGACCCAAACTGTAAATAGTCATATTTTGAGCCCCTTTTCATGTTTGATCAAGGACCTCCTGCTGTTTGAGGTCTCCTACTACCACTTTCCTCTTTATCTCTCTTTTAGGCCAATTTTTGCATAGTATTTTAGGCTTATTTGTGAGCTGTTTTGGACTTTTTCATAAACTGTAAAATATCTTGTTTTGAGCCCCTCTTCAACTTTGTTGAAGGGCTCTCCTCTGTTTGGAAACAGAAGCTACCACTTGTCTCTTTACCCCTCTTTTAGCCCTTTTCTTGCATGATAGTTTGGCCTTATTTGTGATTATTTTCGTGGCTTGATATAAACTGTAAAGTTATTTTTTTTTAGCCCCTCTTCAACTTTGTTGAAGGGCTCTTCGCCATTTGGGGCCATCTGCTGTCCCTTGTGTTTAATCTCTCTTTTAGGGCCATTTTTGCATGATAGATTATCCCTATTTGTGTTCATTTTTTAGACTTGTTATAAACTGTAAATATGCATGTTTTGGGACTGTCTTGCCTCTATCTCCATGCTTCATGATCAAATAATGCATGCTTTGTATAGCTGTAAGTCATTCCATGTGCCTAGTTTCGAGTTTCGGGGTTCATTCCATGCATCGGGTGCCATATTTCCATAATTCGGGACCATATTGCATCATATTTCAGTGCTGGAATCTACATGCTTGTATGCCATATTCCATGCCTTGCCATGCCTTGTTAGAGTTGCATGTTACGCCTAGGATCGGTCCTCGGTTTGCGTGCATGTGTGCACGCATTTCGATAGTCTCATTTTCACCTAATGGCTACTGATGTGAGTGTGACTGAGGTCCGCTCATGTTAGTGTAAGTCCATTATCCATTGCGTATGCCATTTCATTTCATGGCATTGTGTATGCTAGGTTGTATGTTAGAGCATTGTGTATGCCTTGTTACATCGCGCATTGTGTATGCCATCTCATAACATTGTGCATACTAGGTTGTATATTAGTTGCATTCATGCATATCATGCATATTGCATTGTGTGTGGGATAGGAGTTAGCCCGAGCATGGGAAACGAGGGACGTTTCGTACTCCGAGTGACGGAACGTGTCTCAATTCCTGGTCGCCGACACTCCGGATTATCCATGATGGAGTCTAGGCCCTGTTGTGTTTTCATGTGCATTCATTTCATATTGAGTCGTGCAATTCGACTCCTCGGCCATTAGGCATCGAGATGTGTGATTGGTGGCACGAGGATCGAGGACTACACTCCCTGACGAGTAGTCATGCATACATATGTGAAAATACTTTGCCATGCCCCTTTGTTGCTCTTTGTTGCAGCAAATCAGAAATCGGCAGCCTTCCGGAGCTTGACACGTATTCCAAGAACAATTGCAAACAGAGGCAAACCAGGGCATCGCGAAGGATTCTCCACACAAGGCAACCCGAGCATGCATCATTCATCATCCGGAGCAGAGTTGAGGCACTCCCTGGCTTGCATGCCAATTTATCTCTTTCCTAATTTAATTTGTTAATTAATTAGGGTTTTGTACATATTTGGACTGTAATTATTCATTTGGGACTGTATATTATTTATTCGGACCCTCTGCGCGAGGGCAATATTGTAATAAGTGTGCATGTGTGTGATGTATGTCTTCCAACCCTACGTCTTTCTCCCTTTTATTTACCCGCTTATGATGGTTAGATCAGAGCATGTTTCGATTAGCATACAGTACGATAGCATGTTTACATTCATTCATCTGTTTTGCATGCACCGGGCTCGGCGCACCATAATAACTGCATTGTATTTTCAATTCCAAGTTGAATACATGTTAGCTGTAGCATTTCATATGCCATGTTTAGAATAGCCGAGCCTATCTTAGTTCCATCTTGCATGTGCTGCATTAGGCATTTCTGTATAGTTAGGATCATGCATGGATTTCTAATTACCTTCTGTTTTGGCTTGGAGTACTCAGTAAGTGGTTATGCTTTAGCATCCTTGCATGCGTGTGAGTGACTGCCATGATAGCATGCTTACCATGAGGCTATATGCTTATGTGATATAAACTGCCCGAATGCCTGTGGGTGAAGGTTGGGTTATTTGAATTGGAACAATTCGTTGACTGTGAGTTTTAAGCCCATTGGATAGTGGCAAAATCATGTTTTTCTAAGCCCACCCGAGGGTGGCAAATCCACGTCTTAGCCTACTTGTGGGTAGCACCATCAAACCATTTTCAACATAAACAAACATGAAATGTTTTGTTCCAATTCAGGCGATCTAGTCTATACTTGTATGCTGTGCGCATCACATAGTAATCTAGGCTAATAACCGAAATAAGAACACATAATGCTTTCAAAAATAGATATCATGGTTAGTAGAGGCCAATCTTTAATCGAGCGAGCGGGGGTGCTCACGAGGTGACCTTCCCCAATCGTACCCAAGTTCCCGAGCCGAGGCAACTTTGGTGATGACGGACACGTGGCCTTAGGCAAACGAGTCAGGGTTTCCTAAATTTCCCCAAAATAAAACATTTAGGTGGCGACTCTGTATCTGAGAAAGCAGTCCATGTTTGGCACTTCTTTACAAAAAAAAAACTGTTTTCTCAAAACGATTTGCCGGATTTGGACTCTTTGGTTCAAATTGAGAACCATGACAATTTGAGAGTCCGAACTGTAGTGAGCCCAAATGAACGGAACGGGGGACCCATCCTCCCGGGGCGTTCGGGGACGTCTACAGTTTCTGGCGACTCCGCTGGGGAATTTAGAAAACTTGACTTGAACTCATGATATTTGTTTTTGACTACACTTATGTGTTTCTTTGCATTGCATTTGCATTGGTGCGCCTAGGACACCGTGTTTGCCATTTGCTATTCTTGAACGGTTTACCGAAGGCTTGCCTTGTCAAGGCATGACCATAAGGCTGACCGGTTATGGGCTCTGCCAGTATGGGAACACAAACCCCGATTTTACCGGGGCATCCTTTTTGACCATTCGACCTAGTGCATATTCGGAATCCATAGTGACCATTCCAAACTAGGACAGGTTGCTTACCCGATATAGGTTGTGTGAAACCGCTGCGTGCGTAGTGAAACCCTAGCTCCTGACAAAATAGGACAGGGAAACCCTACCCCAACATAGGGGTGTTTTGGCTCTCACTTGCTTGTTATGTGCTCTAGAATGCGTCTCTACAGGAATGCATGTATCAGTTTGCAAGTTTAGGCATCAGGCCTGCGGGCACCAGTTCAGTATTTTGGGAATCAGTTATATCTACGGGTATCAGATTCAGTTTTGGGGGCAGTAATTTTGGGAACAGTGATCAGTGGTCGAATGCAGTTATTCAGTCATGTTCATGTCTGTATTGGTGGGATTAGGCTGAGATGCTGCGTGTTTTCTCTTTCAGTTCAGAGACTAGGTTCAGAACAACCAGTGTTCTCCTTTGCTGAGGCAAGACAGGAAAAGGCTCACCGGTTCTTAAGATCCGTTAGTCACCAGTCCGGTCCATCTGATCCGTCAGTCACCAGTCACATCACCTCTGTTTAGTTCAGCAAAACTCGTGATGACGCAAAATTCGGAAGAAATTGTGGTTATGGCAGCCGCATCAGACCAAGGAATCACATTGCAGGGTGATACCGATGTTGAAGTGCCACACCCACCCAGGTCACCTTCCATACATCCGATCTGGGAACCCCAGTTATTTCAAACCCGTGAGCCCACCACATTCGAGTTGATGGGAATGATTGGTGACCTTCAAAGATCTGTGGCGGATCTAGCCTGCGGAATGTCGGTTCCGTCGCCAAATGCATCGTATATTGGGAATTTCATACCGCGGGATCCCCCGCTACTGGGATGAATTGTAATCGAACTTAGCCAACCTGAAGCCATCCCAAGTTCCGGCAATGGCATGTCGACAACAACGGGGCTCCACTCTGATGTAGCAACTCAAGCCTCCTACCAAGCCGAGGCGAGTGGTAAGAACAAGATGAAAGTGGACACCGATCCCTATGAACAACTCCTGTGGGCTGTTGAGGCTTTGAAAGCCGGAGGATTGAATAAACAGCAGGTGCTCGCTGTTGCTATAAAAACTGTGGATAACATCTTCCCCACTCAGGCCGAGAGCAGTTTAAGCCAGAGGGAAAATCGAGATGGGGACCGTCGTACCAGAACGGTTCCTTCCAATCCTAACCATGCACCTGGAAAAGATTAGAGAGCCAAGGCAGCACCTACCGACCCTTTTTCGAGTGCGTCCAGCAAAAGTCAGCAAACCTCGAAGTATCCGCCCCGAGGTCGCAGAGTCTTCCATGCCCT